TCTCTCATCACAGAGCTTCCCCTCTGCCACAGCCTGCAGAGATGTCTGGGTCTCTAAACTTTGCATTGCTTGGTCTGTGCCAACCATTTATAAAAAGATTTATTTCTCTATCTGAAAGGTCACAATAGCCAAGGTTAGGCCGGGAACCAGCAGCTTCTTCCAGGTCTCACACATAGGTTCAGGGACCCAAGAACTCGGACATCTCCTGCTGCTTTCCTGTGCAGATTAGCAGGGAGCCGGATCCAAAGTAGAGCACCCAGGACTCAAATCAGCACCATGTGGGATGCTGACACCGCAGGCAATAGCTTACCGCGTTGAGCCACAGCAATAGCCCAGTCCACTCGTTTTTCTGTATAGATATTTGGTGACCTGATAATGTACATGTATACTCATTAACCTGCACAGGATGTGGGGTTTTTCAACATGTGTTTATTTATTTGAAAGGCAGACTTACAAAGTTGGACGAGAGAGCAGGGGAGATTCACTCCTCAAAGGGGTTGCAATGCCCAGGAGCCAGGAACACCATCCAGGTCTCCCACATGGGTGGCAGAAGCCCACATACTTGAGCCATCTTCTGCAGCTTTTCCAAGGAGCATAGCAGAGAGCTAGCTAGGAAGAAAAGCAGCCAGTTCTCCTAACCTGCAGCACCACAACCCTGTCCCCTGCCCCAATTCAGATGTTTTTAAATGTGGCATATTCCTTTCCCCTTTAAGGATAAATAAATTTCAGTACAAGACCCAGTGCTGTATGTTCATAATAGAATCTAAAGGGATAGTAAGTGTTCTCGTTTTTCCTTTTTTTTTCTTTTTTTTTTTTAGATTTGTTTATTTTTATTGGAAAGTCAGATATACAGAGAGGAGGAGAGACAGAGAGGAAGATCTTCCATCCGTTGATTCACTCCCCAAGCGGCTGCTACAGACAAAGCTAAGCTGATCAGGAGCCAGGAGCTTTTTCCAGGTCTTCTGTTGGGAAGAAGGTCCCAAGACTTTGGGCCATCCTCCACTGCCTTCCCAGGCCACAAACATGGAGCTGGATGGGAAGCGTGGCTGCCAGAATTAGAATCAGCGCCCATATGGGATCCCAGCGCATGCAAGTTGAGGACTTTGGCTGCTAGGCTACCAAGCTGGGCCTAAGTGTTCACTTTTTTAAAAAATAAATAAATATATAAAGCATAAATGTGATAAAACCGTTTTCTTAAACAGTTTCTGCCATACTCCAGGTGCATAAGCAGGAAAATGTTTCCAGTAGTTTTTCCTTTAATAAAGGTTTTTTTAAGTTCCCCCTGTATACCAGAAATGTACTAAACAGTAATGCCAAAAGAAGTCACAGTCCAAGCCGCCAAGGACATTATTATCTAGTAGGAAAGACAGGCATATAAACACACAGCTATAGTATGATCTGGCACCTGCGGATTGGGTATATCCATGGTTACTGGAAGAGAAGGTTTGCTGGAGGAGGTGGTAGATGAGTCGTCAGTAGGAGAAGGAACAGCGTGGGCTGAGGGCACAGCAGAAGCAGAAGGCCAGAGGTGAGAAACAGTGAGGTATTTAACAGGAAGGCCAGGTCACACTGAGCCACATGAGTCCTGGTAAACAAACTAGATTTTATCATGTGGGTGATGCCTATAACATCCGTGTTGCAGGGCCTTGTAAGGGTTTTGTGGATAGCAAGTCCTTGATCAGCTTTGCAGAAATGGATACTTGTGTAGCCTAAAAGGTGCATTGGAGAAATGGGCCCAGCGCAATGGCTTAGGGGCTTAATCCTCATCTTGCAAGTGCCAGGATCCTATATGGGCACCAGTTCCTGTCCTGGCTGCTCCAGTTCCCATCCAACTCCCTACTGGTGGCCTGGGAAAGCAGAAGAGGATAGCCCAAAAGCCTTGGGACCCTGCGCCCATGTGGGAGACCTGGAAGAAGCTCCTGACTTCTGGCTTCAGATTGGCTCAACCTTGGCCATTGTGGCCACTTGGGAGGTGAACCGGCAGATGGAAGGTCTTTCTTTCTGCCTCTCCTCTGTGTAAATATGATCTGCCTTTCTAATAAAAATAAATAATTATTTCTTAAAAGGATGGATTTGAGAGGGATCAAGAGAAACAGTTACTGGTCATCACAATGGACCAGGTAGGAGAAGCTGAGAGCTGGGGAGCAAAGGAGGCAGTGCAAGTAGGATGAAGGAAAAGAGATGAAGGCACACTTCGCAGGATGGCAGAATCCAGGGATGAAGTCTAGGTAAGGGAGTGGGAAAAGCCAGAAAAAAAAGCCCTTACCACTGAGGAAAATGAACAGTGGAAGATGGGGTACGCAGCGGCCACTTCCCCCCAGTGTATGGGAGCAGTGAGTACTGTGTGGGCCACATGATCTTAAAGTGCCTCCCTTATTCAAAGTCATCCCCTTTGCAGATCACCAAATGGCTCCAGTGGAGCTCTCATTCTTGGTACTTTTCAGAGACTTCTCTGAAACCCATTATCCAAGCCATTTTATCAGCCCCATAAGCCAGTCATGCATTTTATCGACATAACTTCTTTTGCAAAAAGAAAGAAAAGCTACTGCCTTGGGGTGCACATTAGTGTCTATTTCTTTATAAAAAGAATAAAATTAATGATGTTTTCACATAGAAGGATACTCTTCACTAGGGATTAGTCATAATTACTTTGGGCTATTTCTAAAATCCAATATGGTTCTTGGATCCCTGGGACTGCAGACAAGAACATGGCTTGGACCCAAGAGATTTCCAGCAGAGCCTCTCCAAAGTTACAAAAAAAGTAAATGATTGTAATGTTGGACCCCCTGCTCCACGTGGCCAATGACTACACCCAGCCAGCTGCCTTTGTTCTGATGTGATGGCTAAGACACCTGTTGGATTTCTCCATTTCAATTAATCCTCCAGGAAAGTGGTCTCTTTCTTGTCTCCTGAGACAAAAGCATTTTCTCTGTTTTTCAGAATGCCTTGGACCACGCTAAGTTTTGCAGTGTTCCTCTTAATGCTGAGCTCAAGTCTCTGCTCAGATGGTGCTGGGCAGGACTGAAAAATAAACATTAAATCTGGGCAAAATCACTAAAGTGACCAGAGTAGTAGCCAATTCCAAAAGAAAAAGTGTTGTAGCAGAAAGAAAAATAAAAACACTAGAAACCAAATTCCCCAAGCAGCATGCCACAGCTGGTACAGGGCACTGCTGGGAATACCTGTCCTGCAATTCCACAGAGAAATCCAAACTCCAATATGAGGGGTCACCCAGAATGGAAAACACCATCGACACAAGATGGAAAATAAGTGAATAATTGTCTTGCCTCTTTAACTGGGGCCTTTTGCTGCCCCAGTGTGGCCATTTCATGAACCCAGCAAGCAGACTGGGCCTCCCTCCAAGCTCAGACTCCAGTGTGATAACATCCTACTCCAATAACACTCCCTTTTGCATTGGAAGAAATGACTGTTTGGTGCAGCTGCTGATACAATGGAATGTGCTCTGACTTTCTGCATTAGGTAGGACAATTCCTGTTAGTTTCTGTCAACTGTGATACACTACAATTCTTTGCAGCAATTGTCAAGGGCATGGAGGTAAAAGACTCTTGTAGCTATGAGCTCACTTCCTCCCAGGCAGCCTCACTCTCCCTCTCCCCTGCAGGCTGGGGCTGACTGCCACGGCATGGAGAGTATGGTGCAGCTACCTTTTAGACCATCGTATAAAGCCCTTCTGTAACATCAGAGGAGGAAGAAGTGTTTATTAAACAAGTCACTACCTCTGAGCTGATGGATGAAGCAGTCTTCTTTCTTTCTTTTATTATTAAATTCTTATGCATTATTACCAAGCATCCTTCCTGCTTCCAGCAGTGGAAATAGGAAGCTGCATCATCAAGCTGTACCGGCTAACCTTCTGCCCCCAGTTCCCCATGGCTGCTCTGGAATTAGCCGGCTTCTTGATCAGCCTGAGTCCACTCCACTCTGACTCCCTTCTCCATCACCATGTGAAGGGCACTTTGGGAGGCAGCACACGTGCTAGGCTGGTCAAAAACATCACACCTGTAATCAGACAACTCCAGCTCTACCTCATACATACAGTCTTTAGGACCCCTGGCATGCACTTTAACATCTTTAGGCCTACAACTCCTCATGTGGAAAATGGAAATAAGCATTGATTTCTCTTGTGGGATGCTTTGAAACAACATAAAGTACTTGAACAGAAGCTGGAATAGAGAGAGTTCGGTAGTAGAAGCCATGATTACAAGCAGCAATCTATGGCAGGTGGAGAGACCTGAGCTCAGAAGGAAGCATGAGTCCTCCCTCCTGTAAAAGGTCAGGGGGCAGACACGGGGAGGTGGCTGGTGCCCAGAGTGGCACCCTTTGTCAAACTAAGTAGTTCAGCTTCCTTCAAGGCCGGCTTTGAAGCCAGCAGGAAAACAGCATGTAAGAGACCATGCTTGTCAACTCTCACATTCAGATGGCTTTCAGAAGATAACTGTTAGAGTCTTTTCTCCCTCTATGTTTTGTTAAGTACTAGGTTGGCAAGTGGCTAGGATCTAAACAAACTCTTTATTCATTGGAAATTCTGCTTCTGTGATTTTCTAAGAAATTTGTGTAACCTTGAACTTGCCCTCTTTTGTTCTTTCCACCTGAGGCATTCATTTGGGTGCATTAAATTTTAGCTTTTGTATCTTCCTTAACAAATGACACACCCAGAAATTAGCTCTTGTAATCAAAAAACCTCCAGAACGCTGGTTCCAACTGGTTTTGCTGTTTGTGGTCTCACAACTGCCTCTTGGAGCCTCCTGCTTTCAGTTGGGTCAGCTATGGTTTTATTTAACTTGTTTGAGCATTGCATTTTTGTTTTTGTTTTGATATATTTCATTTAATCCCAAAACATCACAGCATAGAACTTTTTTTTACCTGAATTCCCCCTCTGCACTGCCCATTTCTCCCCAAGTTGACTGTGTGTTCCTAAGTGGTGGGTACCTTCCCAGTATTTGAAAATGCATTCAGTCTCTTCTTTGCTTGTGCTTTACCAGGTCAAGCTGGGAACTGCCTGACTTGAGGGAAGGACGAGTGAAAGCCATCAGTGACTCAGATGGGGTGAGCTACCCTTGGTATGGGAACACCACAGAAACTGTGACCCTGGCCGGCCCCACCAATAAGATCTCCAGGTTCTCCGTCAGCATGAATGACAACTTCTACCCAAGTGTGACATGGGCAGTGCCCGTGAGTGACAGCAATGTGCCACTGCTCACAAGAATCAAGAGGGACCAAAGTTTCACTACCTGGCTGGTGGCCATGAACACCACAACAAAGGAGAAGATCATTCTGCAGACCATCAAGTGGAGGATGAGGGTGGACATTGAGGTGGACCCTCTTCAGCTCTTGGGACAACGGGCCCGCCTGGTGGGCAGGACTCAGCAGGAGCAGCCCCGGATCCTGAGCCGGATGGAACCCATCCCCCCTAATGCACTAGTGAAGCCCAATGCCAACGATGCCCAGGTCCTCATGTGGAGGCCCAAGCGGGGGCCACCTCTGGTTGTGATCCCTCCTAAGTAGAAGTGGACTGGCCTAACTGTGTGTGGAGCACATGCTGCTGAGACACGCAGTGAGGTTGCCAGGAGTGGCAGGAGCCAAACTGAGTTTCTGAGCCAAAGCAGACCTCCCGGTTTGCCAGCCTTTGCAGCACCTGTGAAGAGTAGGGCTGCTCCTTGGGTGGTAGAACCATAATCCTTAGGAAAAGTCCCTTCCTTTTTGGAATAAAGGAATCACTGATTTGACAGACTTGCTGTGATTACCATGCAAGTAGCCATATTTTGGAGCTGACCAAGATGATTCTTTTATCTGAACTATTGACCATTTCTTTCCTGTAAGATGCAGGGGATGGAAACGAAACTAAACAGTGCCTGTGGCAAATGCTGCTTCCCAACCAATTAGAAGTGGGAGTGAAAACATCCACACCAGGTGTTTGTAAGATGGTCCTGTGCTTCATCTGGAGGGTACTGGGGAAATGGGTGGCATTCAAGCCAGGTGGTAAAATGGGCAGTGGGAAGAGGGAAGGGTAAGTTGTCATTACAGGTTAAGACTTGTGTGTTTGTTAGTTGACCATCAGATGGTCAACAAAGCGGCATTTAGCCAACTGAAGAATTGGTGTCTGTGCCATTTCAAGAGGGTCAGCCTTCTGAGAACTGTCCAAGGTGCTGATGCGACCAAATCAATGGACATACTCATTGGTTCCTTCTGCTCACCTCTTCCCCCAAAAGATTACTTATTCAAAATATTTTGATCACAGTATTTTGATACTATACTGTTATTCACAGTGCTTTTATTTGGGCTGATCATGTTTTTAGTGAATTTCCAACTTGCAACTTTTATTCACAAGAGTAAAACTTTTGTATACAGCTGTTTATTCTATTCCCATCACTAGCCCTAAATTTACAAAACAGTCGATAAACCATCAATCCATGTGGTTGTTTCAAAAGCATTTCAAAAATAAGGGCAGTACTTTTATTCCACATTATTTATAGTTTCCGAATGATTTGAACATATAAAATGCACATATACACACGCATGCTTACACACAGACCAGGATGCATACAGCATCATTCCTAGCGCATTTGCCAGCAGTGCCTGTGTATTTGCCCATGGTCTTCATGCATATACACTACATACACTGAATATCCGTATATTTTTTTATCATAGCTCTGTTTCAAAGAAGCTCAATTTTAAGAGCTTGAACATTTGTAGGAAAGAGATTCATAAGGCTTAACTTCAGAACACTTTAATGAAAATCTAAGCTGCTCACATTGAGCAGGCCTGCATTGCTGAGACTCAAGCAATAAAACTGAAAGGCCATGTTTCCCTTAGTTTGACCAATATAAAAATTTCCAGAAAGTTTCCAGTATTTACAGTGAGAATTTTCCCAGCTCTTCCAACTTAAATACACCTTTAAAAACAGAGAAATTTTCCTTTCTCTCCATAGTGCAAATTATGACATACACATACACATATGTGTGTATATATATGTATTTTGTTTTCCTTGTTCAGCTCCTATTCCATGCAGACTAATCATAAAGTATAACAGTGTCATCCTAGATTCAGTGATGAGATGGTATAAGCCTAATTTCAAAAATGGGGAAACTGAGGTTCAAAGCTAGCCTAATGGTTAGCCACCAAGATAGATCTTCTACCAGAAGTTGGAGACGAATAATGACAAACAGGAGCCTGTTTATTACTTGATTTAAGCAGTCATTTAGTTTAATTTCCTTCAGTCTCTAGTCCTAGGAGATGACACTTATTAAAATGAGCATGTTAACAGATCCACTCCAAATTTTGTCATGTAACCTGGCACCCCAACCATCTGCTATTCTGAAAGATCAGTTATTGACAGTGGGTTATTTATAGCAGCACGCTGATGGCATGCCAGGGATGCGCAGGAGACCTGGAGACATTCCATTTAGCAATAGTTCAGCTGTTCCGTTGGATTCCTCTGTCCCTTCCCATGCTTTCTTGGTGTGTGCAAGGAGTTGCTCCAAACAGCTCCACAGGTGAGGTGTAAAGCTGTCTTGTTTTGCTCAGCTCTGGAACCACCAGTGTTTTGCTCAGGTTGCCATCATCATGAGAATCAGTTGCCATCGTCATGAGATTTCTAGGACGTGGTGCTGATTCTGTAACCTAATGTGTATAGTCCCACTGGAAAAAAAATCTGGTTTTAAAAATCCACAATTGTAACAAATAACAGATTGGTAATGAGGAAGAAAATATATTTTAAAATTCTGGTCAAGGCTGTCTGCTTTCAAGTTTTCCTAGCCCAATCAGATAAACTGTGACATATACAATCATATTTACACATAACTTTTCAAGGGCATATCTGTATAAAGCAAGGTGCAGCTCACTTTGTTAGATGTGTTGCACTTTTTAGAGTTTATAAAGAAATTGCCAACAATGATATTTTGCTGAGAAATTAAATAATGAAAAACAATAAGAATGCATGGGCAAGTGCTCATGAAAGTTAAAAGCACTGTGCAGATATGATTATGCCCTCATCATTTTTGCCACTGATAATATTGTGCACGCCACAGTTGACTTGAATCCTGAAGTCAGCCTGCCAGAACACTTTATTGCCCTGTAGCAAATTATTTTAAGATTATCATGGTTTTACAAGGAAATGACATCTTTTCCTTCTGTGATGTGTGGATCGTTACTTTTCAGCTTAGTCAGGATATTGCCAAATGAAAGGCTCTCTTCCAGAGGAGAATTTACCTTGAAACCACTGCTAGCATCCCCTCCATCCTGCCACCCCAGCCTGACCCCAGGTGCCATCAGTTTAAAGGGTAGAAATTTTGTGTGTGCAAGAGCATTTCATCTGTTCATGGGTTCTTAAATGAAGTCAATTTTTAAGATCTCTTGGTCTGTAGACTTAAATTGAAAGCCCACTAAAATGGAATCATCAGTCCACATTCATGAAGCTACTCAGCAGCCCACCAAGAGAGGGTGTTGGTCTTCCAGATAGAATGTCTCCCAGCACAGTCTCACTTCCTTGACACCCATGCCTTTCCTAGAGTCCAACCCAAACATTGTCATCATTTCTGAAACATTCACCAAAAACTAGACAGTCGGATTTGTCCTCTAAAGAAGAGAAAATCTTGTTGCTATTATGTTAGAAAAAAAATTTTCAGAATCCCTTTCAGCGTGACAGGTGTTCAAGATCTGGGCTCTTTTAGGTGCATTTCACATTCCCAAGGCAGATCCATGACCCAGAGCACACAGGAAAATTGAAGTCCCCTTTTCACCTCCTACTCCATAGACCTTTCATGGCTCCCTCCCCTGGTGCTAGGGATGCTCTCCTAGGTCAAAAGTCAAATTACGAGCTGCAGTTCTATGATTTGTACAGTGTTTCATAAAAGACTACCACAAGCATTTTCTCATCTCCCATGCATTATGGTGAAGAAGACAATAGTGTTTTTACTATTATCCCCACTTCACCGGTAGTAAATTAAAACCAAAGAGGTTAAGGGACATATCCAGAGACATACAAATAACATCCAGAGACAGGATTCAGACTGTCCTTGTGGCTCCTGATTTCACACTCTCCCACTGAACAGTGCTGTCTCGGCTTTTTCCTGCCTGGGGAGCACTGAAAGAGATCAGAAAGGAGAGAATACAATCGCCACCATGCAGTCACATAGTCCTTCCCCAGCTACCAAGTGGATACACTGAAAAATATGAAAATGAACACTTTTTCTTAGGCGGAGAATCTTGTAATCCCCAGGGAGCCTGGCCCAGGAAAATGCCTGTCAAGGCCCACACTGTGGGTGAACTGGCTGTCACTCGGCAGCTCTTAGCACAGTGCTGGTAATTAGTGAAATAGGAAATCTGCTCTCTGAATCCCTTAAACACCCCAAGTACAAAAGGAGAGGAACGCCTGCATCCTGCAGCTGAATATCCAGCTGAGCAAGGCCCTGCAGCCCCACTTTCCCTCCCCATGGTGGGAGCAGCCTGTGTCGTGGAGGTGGCAGAAACAATGGCTTTCCCAACCCCTACTGGCACAGCAAGCATCCTTGTTAGGACTGAGGGCACCGTTCAGCCTTGCCAGAGCTGGCTCCCAACTGAGTTGCAAAGAGATGTAAACATGCACACACACATCGACCACACTCACACAGTCTTCAAGCTGAAAAGAAAATTAATCAAAAACCCATTGAACGCCTGAACTCTGTAATTAAGCCTAAATGATTCTCAGATAGAAGGGAGCTGAGTGAGCATGCTCAGTGCACATAGATATTTTTACCCTGGAGTCTTATTGCTATTCATCTCTTTTGAGATCTTGAGTACATCTGGCTCCTGAAGCCCTGGTGGGATATCTGGCCACAGAAGACCTGCAGGAGATTTGGCAGCTTGGTGGCCAGAGCTTAGCCAAGATTACAGGTCATTTCCAGGCTATTCCCAAGGAAAGGCATCTGGGAAGATGGAGTGACCCGAGTCAGCCACACACCCTTCCATGGCAGACCCCATCACCAGCCTCAGTCTTCTTGAACAGATGGATTTCACTTTTCTTTGTGTAGAATAATCATAATGATACTGAGCAACCTGTTCAAGATAGGAGGCCTTAGTTTGGGCCTAATCTTTCTGTCATTGCTATTATCAATAACTCCCATTTGTATGTTACAGTTTATATAGCACAGATTCAGCTATCCTGTCTTCAGTAGTTCTGGAAGATTGGCCAATTTTAGATGAGAAACTTGAAGCTGATATCAAGTGTCCTACCCAAATTCACACTAATTTGGTGGTTCTTGAGGCTCTGTCTTATAGACTGCATGCTTTTACTCCTTTGTCAGACCATCTTGCTCCCTCCTCTGCTTGTGCATCCCTTGCTCCACCCCATGCAGGGCTGACTGGAGGAGGGAGCCCAATCAAGGCTACTAATTCATCCCTGAATGTCACTGATAGGGTAAGCCCTGCTGGTGGGTCCTGGTTCAGCTGGGTTCAACGTCTGTACCTTCAGGTAACTTCTCTAGCATCCCACCCTGGATGGGAGTGCTGCCTGGATGCTCTGAAGTAGGAGGCCAGAGCCTGGGACCTCACAGCATGCCTTGAGACCCTCTGGATCCAACTGACAAGCCGCACTGATGGAGAAATGGCTTCACTCTCCTGGGCATCATTTTCCATCCATGTCAGCTAAGACCCTAACAACCATAACAAACATCACAATAGTCAGGAGCACCTATGCAGATGATGTCTGACAAAGCTCAAAAATGTCTAGAGTGCTATCTGATACACTGT